GCCCACTGGAGCCCTGCCCTGCCCCCATCCCTGCTGACGGCCTGATCCTTGGGGCCCCGAGAGTTGACCTCAGAAACAGACATCTTTGCCCACACAGCTGGATTGGGATTGGATCAGAGGTTAAGTGGAACCTGCCTGTTCTAACTTAGGGACTGAGTAGCTCCCGGAAAGGACAACAAACCTTTCCTCTGGCAGGTCCTGCCTGATTCCTTCTTTCATCGTGTCCTTCCTGGTATGGGAGCCTGCCTCTCCCTCACACCACTGTTGGGGTAAAATTATCTGAGAAGATGGAAAGCAGCCAACCACAACAACTCTGAGATCTCTCTAGTTTCTTGGATCATAATCAGTCAGGCTTTAAGCTGGGGCTTGGCACTATGACTACACTGCTGGTTCGAGTTGATGACTTTCTGGGAATAAACAGAGGTCAGATGTCCAGCCTGACTTTATTAGCTCTGCCAGAATCTTCTGATCCAGTTGACAATAAAGCAGCAATGATCTGGCTACAGGCCTTGGCAGGGGATAGTATCATTATCTTCAAGTCCCTGGTCCTTAATGAGAAGCTTCCAAAGCCCCGAGGAGTATCTGTGACCATCGTTATTCCTCAGTTGCTTGGGAAATATTTCAGATCTTAAACTATTGAGACTAGAGAATCAGCATCTGCTGTTAAACTGTCTTCAACTGTGATCCTTCTTTGGCTTTTCTGCTTGAGGAGGGTACTGTGGGGACTTGTAGCTGGAGGGGAACACACCTCGGCTTCCCCGGGAGTTACTGAGATGGTAGGTGGAGTCACCACCCTGAGAAGTTGCCCAGCCTGAGACCATGGGATCACTGACATTTTGGACACCACGCTCACCACTCGTTTCCCAGGGTGCTCAGGATGAAGGGGTCAGGGTGAAGGGGTGGCTGGGAGCAGAACACCGCGGGCAGCTTACACAGCAGCACGAGGCACTGGGCAGCCCAGCAGATGCACAGCCCTTCGGCTTCTAAATTCCACTTGCTCACCCTTTACCTCCATCCCCAACTCTTTATTAACAAACAAAAAAGTAACTGCCCCGTTAATCCTGTGTCCAAACCCTGCCCTCCCCCACTCACTCCAGTGGAGACCCAGGCTGCAAAACAAAAAGGCAAAAAAAAATTTCTATCGAGACCGTAGCCGCTTCCTTAATCGCGCTCTCATCCAGTCTCTTCAGAATGGGAGTGGGGGTACTCAGCAGCCGACAGGCCTTTCCCTCGGTGGCCACGCCCGACCTCAGCCTCGGGCGTGGAGCCGGGCTGGGAGCCTACCCACTGCCTTCCAGTGAAAACTAGAGAGCATTTTACAACCTTTGCACGAAGTGGCTTTCCTGGGATTTTGCTCTAGATGCTAGGAAACATAGCTCCTTTAAATTTTGGAAGGAATTAATTTGTAGATGACATCATTCAGTATATTCAAATAACGGCAGGATTTTTTTTTTTTTAAGCAGCATTTGCTTTTCTTAGTTAAATGCAGCCATTTTTAGGGTAATAATTGCTTAATATGCCTGGCACGTGATTGAAATCCCTTATGAGAGGCTCAAAATGAGTCAGAAGGTCAGTTTATTCCTTGGCCATGTTCCTTTCACAGCATGGGTTTTCCCTTGCTGCTGCTCAGGAGGAGCAGTTACAACTCTTGTGTATGCGAAGCTTCCCAGCTGAATCCTGACCCGTCAAGCGGGACCATCAGAGTGCTGGCTTTTGCCTGGTGGTGCACAGCTTTCATCTGTCAGTGAATCTTTCGGGGCCTTTGTTTCCCAAATTTAAAAATATGAGACTGAACGCTAATGGATGCCCTACTTATTTTTCTGGCAGGCAGACCTCTCTTTACCATCCCACTGGCTTTCTGCTGCTTTTAAGACATCCTTGGCTACACTGTCTCTGTGCCTTACACAGAAATATATAAATTCTTTACTGCTATTTCAAGAACTAAAAAGTCCTATTTACTGCTATTTCAAGAACTAAAAAGTCCTCATTAAAATGTTTATGTCTTCCAGAATAGTCTTGCCAACGTTTGGTAGGTAAAGACCATGGAGAGGTCAGCGGCTACCTGATTCCCAGAGACCAGTGGCTTACACTGAAAAGGTCCCACTCCACTTGATTTACACAGTAGACAGCTACAGAATTTCAGGATGGGAGGAATTTATAGCTCCACTTGCCTTTGATGGGTGCTTTCTGAGAAAATCTCTCTTAAGAATTTAGGTAGTATACCAGTTCTTCTATTTGAGTTCCACTGAAGATGAGCCAGACTTTTATGAACCATAAATGTACTTTGCATCCTCCGTCTTTTCCATAAAAATTTCCCCTTCCTCTGCCCAGTTTTTTTTTTCCCCTCTGGCTTTAAATCCTAATATTTATAAAAGCAGAAAATGTTACAGTTCAAAAGGTATTTGTTTTTTTAATGCTCTGTCCAAAGCCACTGGTTTGAAAGAGGTACTGTCTGGAGGTTTCCAGAGACAAGCAGAGCTTTTATCTCAGGAGTTAATGTTGATTAGATTGAAGCAGAGGAAAGATAATTTTCTCCTTTGTTCCTGAACAAGGCTAGCAGAGAGCAGTGACAGATGTTTTTAAGAGTGAGAGTAAAATATAATCCCAAATCATTTTCAAGCATGGGACTTTTACAGAACACCAAACGCTTATTCAGTGGCTTTATTAGATAACCTAAAAGGCACAACATCCAGTGTATCAGGCAAGAGAAAGAATAACCTTGTTATGGAAGTGTCCTTAAGAGGGTTTGGCAACTGAAAACTTTTTTTGGGTCGCAGGTGGATGGAGCTCGAGAGAGACTGTCAGAGCAGCAGTACAACAGACTCGTGGACTACATCACAAAGATCTCTCGTCACCTGGCCCCCAGCTGCTCCTCCGTGCCCACACCATGCCCTGCGGTGGCTGTGGAACCGCTCCCCTCCACTGTGAAAACATACCATTATATGGTTGATCCGCATTTTGCCCAAGTTTTCATTAGTCAGTTTACCATGGTGAAAAATAAAGCCCTGAGGAAAGGGTTCCCTTGAGTCCCCTCCACGGTGTTGACTGCTGCTTGTGCAATTTATTTTTGAAAAAGAAACCTAATGAGCTTTTAACATCTATTGTGGAAACAAAACCACTCTTCTATAGTTACAGTAACTTTCTTCTAAAACTAAGTCAAATTCTTCCTTTTTCCTACAACTAAGATACTTCAAAATTGAGTGATTAAAAAACTTAGTCCTTTCCTGTTGGGGGACAGTACGGAGAATCCTATTTTTAATCTTATGTATTGAAAATACATTCCTTTTTGCTAAAATTTTGACTTTAATTAAGATCATCAACCCTAGTCAGGCGTTGGAAACAGATGTAAACTTCATCCCGTTGCATCTCTTTTTAGGATGAGACATCATCTTTGCCTAACACCCTCTCTGCAGAAGTTTAGCTTTAAATGAAATTCAATGCTTAGGATCTTACTGTTTAACTTGTTAAATCTGTTATTTAAACATGATGCTATTTTAAGTGAAAGCTGCCGTGTACATTCCTACTCTAAACTTTTACTGAAATTTTACTGATGACTTATGCAGCTACATTTTGGAAAAATGTCTTTCTAATTTGTTTTGCTGGCAAGGAAATCTTTCTTGTCTACTGCTAAAAACAGACCCAGGGTGCTCAGGTGAGTTTCTTTAGTTCCACAAGCAAAACACTACTGGGGAACTCCCACTACTGGATAACTCCCACTACTGGATGCTTTTATGGAAGGACTCACCCTAATGCCTTAGCCAAATCAAGGACCCCAACATTAACCTTAACAATAGTTCATTTTGATGACTTAGCTTGATCCAGCATAAAGATATTCCCATGATTTTCTTTTGTCTTTAAAAGATGGATTTGGCTCAAGATCCTGGGTCACCACGTATACCCTTAGCATTCAGTAAGAATTTGATACTCCAACTAAAACACATTTTTACTCATTACATCCAAACTTGGGCCTACAACCTGATACCTACAATTATGAGATGCTAAGGAATTTCAATTTCAAATGTCCACTTTAACTTAAGCCTCACATGTTATTGGGCATAAGAGATCACTGCATAGTTGTTTAATGTTAATGGACAATTTAGGCTGAATATGAAAAAAATGGCTCCACCATTCCTTTGCTGTATCATACTCATTTAGTAAAGTGACAGTTTTGTCAACAAGAGTAACTATTTTTAAGCTTGTAAATATGTATTAAGTCTTGTATCTTTTATGATGATTTTGCATACTACTTCTAATTGTTTTATGAAATTGTTTAAAATAAAACAAACTCTTGAATTACTGATCATATATAAACGTGGGTTCTTAAAATGCAGGTTTTCACTGATAACCTGGGTTTATTACAGCTTACATTATTGGAACTCAAGAACTCTGCACAAGTTAAGAAAATTTGTTAACCTAATAAAAGAACTGGGGATTCAGTTAGTTTTGCTAAAATAATTTAATTCTTAAAGCTCTGTTGATCACAACAAAAACAATTACTAAAGGAGAGAAAGGTCCTAAGTCCTCCTCTGAAAAATGTTACCACACTCCAAATTAGTAGACATTACTCAACCTCAGTTCCAATTAAATAACTTTTTCTATGTATCCCATATTGTACATACATATAGGCATTCAATAAAGTGATACTGAATAAAGAACCTTAAATTTACCTACTATATCTGTCCAATGGCTGGATCCAGTAGGGCAATCCGATAACAATGAAGTCCAAAGACATTTTATTGGAAAGACAGCCTCTGTTCCTTTTAAGAACCCACAGTATAGTAGTCATGTAGGTTCATGCAGACCCTTTAAACCCATGGCCCAGGGAGTATCTCAGTGAAATGGACAAAATGTGAGAAGAGTCAAAAATGTCCTAAAACAGTAAACATTTTAATCAGTATTTCAAGTTACCTTCATAAGATTCATAAAGTTAAAAATCCCTGACCAATTCTAATCCAAGTACCCCAAACTGTACATGTCGGTAAGAATAACTGAACAAAGACTTAGTGTCCACAGTATTTGTTAATTGTTTATTTATTGAGAGACTTTCTCACCCCAGATAGTCATAGTTTCATAGTTCAGGAACACAGGAAAGTGACAAACTTCCATGGAACTCAACCCAAGAAATCCTGTAGAGAAAAACAGAGTGACCAAGTTAATGATAATCACTCTCTTAATACCTCGCCACCCTGGATACCCTGAGCGCTTCTGCCACCAATGCGGGCCACGTTCTGTTCGCTCACCGTTAGTCCAGGCAGCCCCGCTCAGGCTGCCTGGGCTCCAGGTCCATTCTCCCCCACGTTCCCTAACCTTCCTGCCCAACCTCTTTTCCATTTGGGGCATTCACATCTTTTTATGGGGTTTCTGGCTTTCATTTACCAAGTTCTACCTTTTTTTTTCAAGTCCACCCTGTCCGTTCCCTTCTCATAGCCATACTGTTTTTAAAAAGCAGCAGCCCATCTGTTCTAAACGTTTCTATTCTTGTCTCCAAATCTGTTCCTCTTTTTGTTTCTTAAGCAATCAACTTCTTATAAGTAAAAGGTAAAACAACATGTGTTTAAAAAATTAGCCTGTTAACATCTGATTATGAAAAGCATACCCACTGTGAAAGTTTTGAAAATTTCAAAGGTACAAGAAAACAGCAGTGTTAATAAGATTCCACACACAAGAAAACTAGTATTTTCATCTTTTTACCTTCAGCCTTTTTTCTTATGCACTTTTAACACAGATCACCCTTTCCATAAAACATTCCTGGTTTTCTATTTTAGTAATTCCTGTTACTTTGTGATTATCAATTCTAATGGACATAACAGTCCATGATGGAAGTTAAAATTCCCATCAGTTTTCCAACCACTGGGAATAAACTTGTTTTTCTACTACTACGTATTACATATATTAAACTGTGGCTTAATAATGTATCTATCTGTGTTTCAGATACTTCCTTAATATAAGCAACTACAGAAATGGAATGTAACATAAATGAATCTAACACTAGGCAAAAGTTATTTATATTCAAAATTATCCTTGAATTTTAGACACAGAATCTTAACTCACACTGTCACACTGTCCATGAGGCAGTGGGCCTTGACCACCCAAACCAGAATCTCTGGAAAGCCATTAAGTCACCTATGGACATCCAAATAACAAACCATAAAAGGTTTCAAACACTTCAGGGGAGAAGGAAGAGAACAGACCTTGCACACAATGTTCTAGGTTGAGGGCTTCCCAAGGGACTATTTCTATCTTTATCTCAAAATACTGATGACAATGGTGACTGCATTTAAGGGACTTATGAGACATCATCAAAAAGACCAACACTGGTATTATGGAAGTGCATGAAGGGACAAAGAATTTATTTGAAGAAAGAATGGCCAAAAACTTTACAAATCTGAGGAAAGAAATGTATATACAAATATAAGATATTACTTGGAAGTAAGATGAACCCAAAGTCTCCCAACATCAAGACACATTATAATCCAACTGTCAAAAACCAAAGACAATGAATCCTGAAAGCAATAAGAAAAAACTGATTCACTGTCTGTAATGGAGCTTCTGTAAGGTTATCAGTGGACTTCTCCAGAAAAACCAGGAAAATGTCCTTCGAAAATCAGGAAAAAATTAAGACACTCCCAGATAAACAAAAGCTAAAGGATAAGGAGTTCATTACTACTAGATTTGCAAGAATTGTTCAATTTGAAAATTACAATAGTAACTCAAAGCCATACTGAAATATAAAGTTCCCTGGCAAAGGTAAATAGTTGAATAAATAGAAAAGCCAGTGTTAATCATGTTTCCTATCCCCACTTTTAACTTTGTAGCATTTAAAAGACAAACCACTAAAAAAGACATCTGTGTTAATGGGCACAATATCTAAAAACACAATATCTAAAAATGCCATCTGTGACAACTGTAACAAAGTAGGGGAGCAGGGTTGTAAAAGAGAATATTTTATGTGATTACACTTTTGTATGTGTGTTATCAGCAATTCAAAACAGATTGTAACAGCTTGGTTTAAACGTCCCCATCGAAAGTCATATATTGAGGCCCAACTACGAGATATCTACAAAAGATTCACTTTAGATCCAAAGATACACACAGTTTTGAAGTTAAGGATGAAAAGAGATTACATACAGACAGCAATCTAAAGAGCAAGTAGTGGCTATACTGTTAGCAGACAAAAGAGACTAAGGCAAAAAATGCTACAAACACAAAGGACATTTTAAAATGGCAGAGTCAGTTCACCAAGAAGGCAGATTATATATACAGAAACATGAGAGCCTGAAAATATATGAAGCAAACACTAACAGAATTGAAGGGAGAAATAGACAGCTCTATGTAATAGTAGGCGACTTAGAATATTAAATTGGCCCAAAAGTTCATTCAGATTTTTTCATAAAATCTTACAGAAAACCTAAACAAACTCTTTGGCAAACCCAATACTTTCAATAATGGCTGTAACTGAAATGACCAGACAGAAGATCATTAAGAAAACAAAGGACTTGAACACTACAGACCAATCAGATCTAAGAGACAGATACAGATCATTCTACCCAACATCAGAATATATACACTTTTTCTTAAGCATACCTGGATTAATTTCCATGTTAGGTCACAGAAAACAGATTTTTAAGATTAAAATCACATAAAGTATCTTTGCTGGTCACAATAGATGAAACTAGAAATCCTAACAGAAGGAACAGAGATACCAAGGGAACATTTCATGCGAAGATGGGCTCAATAAAGGACAGAAATAGCATGGACCTAACAGAAGCAGAAGATATTAAGATGGCAAGAACAGAAGAACTATACAAAAAAGATCTTAACAACCCAGATAATCACGATGCTGTGATCACTCACCTAGAGCCAGTCATCCTGGAATGTGAAGTCAAGTGGGCCTTAGGAAGCATTACTAGGAACAAAGCTAGTGGAGGTGATGGAATTCCACTTCAGCTATTTCAAATCCTAAATGATTCTCTGAAAGTGCTGTACTCAATATGCCAGCAAATCTGGAAACCTCAGCAGTGGCCACAGGACTGGAAAAGGTCAGTTTTCATTCGAATCCCAAAGAA